TGGGCTCTGTCTCAGGGCTCTACTTAGCAGCTCCACTCTCCAGCTCTGCACTACACTTCTTCCTTGTCCCATCTTGCAGCTGTCACCGATCTCGCTCCCTTCCCCAGTGAGACCTCTCTCACACTGAGGAGAAGGAATGGCCTGGGACCTGTCTAGGGAAGGTGCAGTAAGATTCCGTCCTCCCGGTTTTAATCAGGCTGGTTCCCAGGCTATCAGGTATCCCTGCCGGTCACCTGACCTCTCACACAGGTCCTCCCGGTCCTCCCCCGGGTCCCTCTCCTCTTGCTGAAAGGCAGCCGCCTTCTGATGCTCCACCGCCACACAGCTTAGCCTGCTCCTCAGGGTCACCGGCAACACCGGACCTCTCACTTTGAAGGGACTCAGTGGCAGCACCAGCAGGCAGCACAGGCAAATACACAGTGGGATCAGGTATGCACCATCTCTCGGCGGGCGTACGGAGCTCTTACTCCATGCTGCTGCGGAGCACAATGGTCACGCCCCTCCCCCAGCACTTGTACTTATAGATAGTTTTGGGGAATCCTGCTGCAGTTCGTTCACCCATTACTTTGTTCAGGATTTTTATGAAAGTTACTTGCTGTATATGGTATGAATTTTATTTATTTGACAGTCTTTAACATTGCACTATACATTTATTTTGTCCTGTTCTGTGAATTTAACTATGATTCCAACAGCTCCTTATTGTTAAACACCCATTGCTGTGTAATTGCACAGTAAAAGGCTTTGTCCATGCTAGCAATGAGTAAGCAATGTACAGTATAGGTTTTCCCTTTAATAAACTTGTCTGTGTTTCAATGTCTATGTTTTTTTGTGTGCAATTAGGATTATAGCATGCTCTATGGCATAATAATTGCTAATAAACTACAACATACTTTCCATTTATTCCTTTTTACTTCTGATTGTTAAATGAATTTATAGTCAGCTGAACTGTATCAATTTGAAGTGAAAGGGTGTTGTGTTTGGAACAGTATGTAAAATTGTGTTTGGAAGACCTACCAAAACTGGACTTTGGTTGTAGGCCTGCTTAGTAATATTATTATTATTATACAGTATTTATAAAGCACCGATAGTTTTTGCTCAGCGCTGTACATTACAAAGGGGGACAGAACATGTGACAGAACAATAACAATACAATGCAAAACATGAGGGGATTGAGGGCCCTGCTCTTTCGAGCTTACAATCTAGGAGGGAGGGGGTGGTGGCACAGGAGGAGATAGCTGTGGGGGATGGAGTGGTAGGAAGAGTGGAGAGGTCGGCAAGTTAGCAGGGGGTGGGGTAGGCTTCCCTGAAGACATGGGTTTTCAGGGTGCGCCTAAAAGAGAGGAGAGTAGGTGATAATCTGATGGTTTGGGGCAGGGAGTTCCAGAGGATGGGTGACACCCTGGAGAAGTCCTGGAGGTGGGCATGGGAGGAGGAGACCAGGGAACTAGAGAGAAGGAGGTCTTGTGAGGAGCGGAGTGTGCATGCTGGGTGGTACTTGGATATTAGGTCAGTGATGTAGTTCGGGGCAGTATGGTGGACGACTTTGTACGTCAGTGTTAGGATTCTGAATTTGATCCGTTGCACAATCGGAAGCCAGTGGAGGGATTGGCAGAGGGGGTGGCGGAGATGGAGCGGTTGGAAAGGTGAATGAGTCTGGCTGCGGTATTCAGGATTGACTGAAGCGGGGATAGCCAGCGGTGAGGCAGGCCAGTGAGGAGGGAGTTGCAGTAATCGAGTCGTGATATGATGAGGGAGTGGATGAGCTGTTTAGTGGTTTCTGGGGTTAGGAACGTGCAGATTTTGGTGATGTTGCGGAGGTGGAGTCTGCACGAGCTTGTTAAAAGATTGGACTTACAGCTGGAAGGATAGATTGGAGTCCAGAATGACACCAAGTACTCTAGCCTGTGGGGCAGGTTTGATGGTGGCGTTGTTGGACACGATGGAGAAGTCAATGGGGGGTGGTGTTCGGGCTGGGGGGAAGACAAGAAACTCGGTCTTGGAGAGGTTCAGTTTAAGGAAGTGGAACGACATCCAGTCAGATATGTTGCTTAGTAGGTGTGTGATTCGGGCAGAGACTGAGGGGGTGAGGTGGGGGGTTTAGAGATAGATTTGTGTGTCGTCGGCATATAGGTGGTAGTTGAAGCCGTGAGAGTGTATGAGTTGGCCAAGGGAGGAGGTGTACATGGAGAAGAGAAGGGGCCTGAGGACGGAGCCTTGAGGGACCCCAACAGAGAGGGGGAGTGAGGGGGAGGTGGTAGCATTATAGGTAACGCTGAAAAAGCATTGTGACAGGTAGGATGAGAGCCAGGAGAGAGGAGAATCTCTGAGGCCAAGGGAGTGTCATTTTTTGAGGAGGAGGGGGTGGTCGACTGTGTCGAAGGCCGCAGAGAGGTCAAGAAGTAGGAGCACTGAACAGTGGCCATTAGCTTTGGCGGTTAGCAGGTCATTGGAGAGTTTGAGTAAGGTAGTTTCGGTGGAGTGTAGGGGACGGAAGTCGGACTGTAGGGGGTTGAGGAGGTTGTTGTCGTTGAGGTGAGAGCATAGACGGGTGTAGACTAGGCGCTCGAGGAGTTTGGATGTAAATGGGAGCAGGGAGATGGGTCTGAGGTTGTTTGGGTCATTGGGGTCCAGGGAGGGCTTTTTAAGTATGGGGGTGATGTGTGCATGTTTCAGAGGGGAGGGGAAAGTGCCGGAGGGGAGGGGAGGGGAAAGTGCCGGAGGAGAGGGAGAGATTGAAGATGTGGGTGAGGGAGCGTAGGATGGAGGGGGAGGGAGGTCGTAGGAGTTGTGAGGGGATAGGGTCGAGGGGGCAGGTGGTGAGGCGGGCATCAGAGAGGATCTTGAAGACTTCCTTGATGGTAGTAAGGTCAAAAGGTGTGAAGTGTTGGGGGGGCTTCAGTATGAGGAATGAAGGGTGGGGTGGAAGTGGAGGTGAGAGCAGTGGTGGGGCCGTGGGAGAGGGGTGATGAGGGGGTAGCTGAGTGAGGGGGAACGGGGTTGGAGGGAGTTTGAGCAGCGACGATGTCCCTGCGGGTTATGTCGAGGGAGAGGGGGGATGAGGGGGTAGCTGTGTGAGAGGGGACAGGTTGAGAGGGCGTGTGATTTGCGGTGATGTCCTTGCGAATTGTGTCAATCTTGTTTTTGAAGTGATTGGCAATCTCAAGGGCAGTGAGTGAGGTGCTGGGTGGAGGTGGGGGTGGCGAGAGTAATAAAATCAAATATCAGCCTCAGTTTCTACAGCAACAAGGTTTTTCAGAGGGGTTTTGAAAACGTTTTGGCTATATGTTTTTTGGCTCTTGGGTAATCTCTAAACAGTAGAACTCCAGAAAGAAGTTTGCACTTTTTGTAGCACATGGCTAAAGAGGTTTGTAGTGAACAAAGTCTTGAGTTGTGATTGTGTATATACTCTGCAGCTTACAGTTTATGTTTATTTTCATGTGATCAAAGGCCTATAGAAATAGTTATTTGATGAAAACCAGGCATCACTCTATTAGGTGATGATAGGCAGAAAATAAGAATAAAAGAAAGATGTTTGGTGGAACCTTTCTAAACTCTTCTAAACAAACATGAGCTTCATCTCTGAGTGTTCAAAGTCCTAAATACCCAGAGGACATCATGCCTTCCTCACATTCATCTTGCTCTGACCATCTGGAAGCAACTGCAAACGGAACTTGCTATATAACTGAATTTTACACTAATTAGGGATGGTGACATACAGTTGTGCTAAAAAATGTGCATACCCCGGCAGAAATTGTGAAATTTTGGCATTGATATTGAAAATATGACTGATCATGCCAAAAAATGATCTTTTATTGAAGGATGATGATCATATGAAGTCTATTATCAAATAGTTGTTTGGCTCCTTTTTAAATCATAGTGATAACAGAAATCACCCAAATGGCCATGATCAAAGGTTTACATACCCTGGAATGTTTGGCCTTGGTACAGACACACAAGGTGACACACACGGGTTAAAATGCCAATTAGAGGTTAATGCCCCACATCTGTGGCTTTTTAAATTGCAATTAGTGTCAGTGTAAAAATAGTCAATGAGTTTGTTAGCTCTTACACAGAAGCACTGACTAGGCTAGATACTGAGCCATGGGGATCAGAAAAGAACTGTCAAAAGTCCTGCGTAACAAGATAATGGAACTTTATAAAGATGGAAAAGAACATAAAAAAATGTCCAAAGCCTTGAATATGCCAATCAGTACTTTTAAATCACCTATTAAGAAGTGGAAAGTTTGGGGATCTCTTGATACCAAACTAAGGTCAGGTAGACCAAGAAAGATTGCAGCTATAACTGACAGAAGAGTTGTCCTGGATTCAAAGAAAAACCCACAGGCAACCTCAGTTGTGTTTGAGCACAACTGTACATGAAAATACACAATGAAGGAAATCTCAGAAAGTATCAAATATATCCATTTCCTTCTAAGAATACCACATGACCGTATTTGGTCAATGAGCTCACCTGGAATACCACAGCCACCTTGTCTTTTAGAGGTGGTAGTTTTTTGTAATCTCACTATTGCTGGAGATGAACAACTCCACATGCAGGTTTAAAAGGTTAGTTCACTTAATTATAATGAGAAAAAAAAATCATATTCATTACAGCTTTGAGGATACATTCAAATGCTTCCCTCCATTAAAAAAAAAAAACAAAAAAAAAAAACGTTGATGTTGCTTCTTCTATGGACGTCACCTCTCTGTCTTGCCTGGATGCCTACCCCAGCACCTCATAAACAAGCACTCGGCTATTAGAACTCAGCTTGCCTAAATTTGCCTGTACAGGGAAGTGTACAGTAGAAGCGTCTTCAAATGTAAGAATCACTTAAAATGGAGGAGTGCATTTTAATGTACAGTCAAAGCTGTAATGCATAACAGATTTTTTAATAATGTCATTAAAGGTGATGTAACCCTTTAAGACAGGGGTCCTCAAACTTTTTAAACAGGGGGCCAGTTCACTCTCCCTCAGACTATAGTTTAAAAAAAAAAAACTATGAACAAATACGGACACAGTACAGGAGATGACCAGAGACTGCGGACATAGTACAGGCGATGACCAGAGACTGCGGACATAGTACAGGAGATGACCAGAGACTGCGGACATAGCACAGGAGATGACCAGAGACTGCGGACACAGTACAGGAGATGACCAGAGACTGCGGACACAGTACAGGAGATGACCAGAGACTGCGGACACAGTACAGGAGATGACCAGAGACTGCGGACACAGTACAGGAGATGACCAGAGACTGCGGACACAGTACAGGAGATGACCAGAGACTGCGGACATAGTACAGGAGATGACCAGAGACTGCGGACACAGTACAGGGGATGACCAGAGACTGCGGACACAGTACAGGAGATGACCAGAGACTGCGGACACAGTACAGGAGATGACCAGAGACTGCGGACACAGTACAGGAGATGACCAGAGACTGCGGACATAGTACAGGAGATGACCAGAGACTGCGGACACAGTACAGGGGATGACCAGAGACTGCGGACATAGTACATGAGATGACCAGAGACTGCGGACATACAACGGCGGCGGGAATACTGGGCCGGCTGCTCCATAAGACGCACAGACATTTCCCCCCAAGTGTGTCTTATGGAGCAAAATATACGGTAAATGCAGGACACCTTGTTGGGTCAGATCTGTGTACACTTCTCACACATCTGGGACCCCGGGCTGTCACCAGGATATGAAGGTGACTCCGGACTACACATCCAGGGAGGGGGCATTCTACAGGAGAACCGACACACTCCTCATATATGGAGTCCATCCTCGTTATCAGTATTCACCCAAAACTCTCTGTGCTCTGCTTCATACATGGGGGGTCAGTGTATATAGAATATATGGGGGGAGAGGGAGGGGGTCAGTGTATATAGAATAGATGGGGTCATGGGGGGTCAGTGTATATAGAATAGATGGGGGGGTCAGTGTATATAGAATAGATGGGGTCATGGGGGGTCAGGGAAGTTGTAATTTTTTTGTCATAATTTTTCAAAAAATGAAGAAATTAAAAAAATGATTTTCACTTTTTTTTTTACATACTGTCACCAGTGCAGTACAGTGTCATCATATAACTGGCATAGTGGTGATCAGGGACACTGACTGGTGACAGTACGATAAAAAAATTGATAATTTTTTTTTTCTTTATATTATTTTTCATTTTTTATTAAACTTTTTTCTCTTTTTTCAGATTTTTTTTCACATTTCACTATGACCAAAGTGGTATAATGTTACCATTGGTAACATTGTACTACTTTGGGGAAGTGATCAGTATTTTTTTTTTTTTACACAATTTGGAAGCAAGCAAGCATTTACTTGAATTAAATCGATTCATTCAGGGTTTTTTTGTGCTTAGCTGTGATTTGGCCATGGCTAATCACATGACACAGCTGGGCTGTGATTGGCCTAGCTTGTGCATGTAATCGCCGTGACCATTCACAGCTAGACACACTTGTATACAATGGATGGCATGAAAGGAAGCCATCCATTGTATACAACTTTCATGTGACCTGCTGTGATTGGTCACAGCAGGTCACATGGTACTGGAAATGGGGCCGATACACAGATCTGTCATCAGCCATGTCCGAGGCACATGGCCGGTGACAGATCGCCCAGCAGCGTAGCCCTGCGGGCATGCACAATGCGCGTTCCTGAAAGGACGCCATTTGGTGTCCACCCGGAGGGACGAGCTGTTCACCCGGCCGCCATCTGACTATAGGCTGGGCGGCAACTGGTTAACATGCTCAAGCTGCTTTTCCAGAATACTACTCAACTGTACATTTTTGGGGTTATTTTACTAAAGGCAAATAGACTTAATTTCAATATGGTGAGTTTTTCTGACTTTCATCATCCAATAGTGTGCAGACAAAAATGCTGTTGTTTTTTTCCCCATGAACATGATTGCGTATTCTTTGCAAAGTGAAAGCTGACCACATTCACTAAGCTCTGGGGCAAATTCTCATGCAAGGTGCAACTTCCCTTGTAATGTGAACAGTCTATTTGCCTTTAGTAAATCAAACCCATAAGGGCTAGTAAACTGAATGTAAACTTTTATTACACTATGGTTGATAATATATTGTTTATTTTGGTGTAAATATTAACTTTAATTGTTTTTTTATTATCTTTTACAAATATGTTCTATTCAGTTATCTCTGTTACTGTTCATTTGCAGCTATATACCAGATGCTTCCTGCTGTATAACAGATGCTTACCTTCAGAAGATAAGGTGGTTTCAATTAGTCTGTTTTTAAAGGAATGTAAGAAAATCAGTGAACTGATGACAAATTTCTGCACGCAAGTTCATTTATGTCTTGCTATTATTCGATAAGGACAAAGATTATTAAAAATTACAAAAATCTGCTGCCCTGGTGACACCTAATCCAGATCTGTAGGGATTAGTTAAATTGGGGAAGGGTTAAACCTTCTGTCAAATGTTTGTCTATAGCTAAGTACACTTGGGCAGAATATCAGGTGGTATTGGCTAGTTCAACAGAAACTGGCCAACATTCGGCCTGTGTGTACGGCAGCCCGTCCCACAGAAGCTGGACATTCATCTGCCTTCTGTTGTAGGGGCATGACTGAAAAGGTTTGACGATCAGCTTCTGATCAGAGCTCTCAGATCGCTGTACTAACACAAGCAGCCATTGGCTATCAGTTTTGAGTTTTTTTCATTCAGCCTAGTGAGAACGGGACTTAAGCCCTTACAGTGTGTATGAGGCTTAAGTGTGCACGGGGTTGATTCATCCCTCTATTTGTACTGGTGACTATAGTCACCTGACAGGAAGGGGATATCCAAAATTTGTCCCAAGAACAAGAGGTGATGGGAGTCTTCTAAAGCAGTGTTAATTTAGCTGACGAAAATATTTTCAACATCCTTTTTGTCAGATGCATGTTTTCAGTGACGAAAACAAAATGAAATAAAATTAGAATTAAGTCAATTAAATCAAACGAAACTATGGCAAAAATCAATTCCGATTTTTGGCAACAAATGAAAACAGAATGAGAATTTCTTGTGCCCCCACACCACCTAGGGACCTCACTTACCCTTGGGTCTGTCCCTCTACCCCCTACGACTCTCTTCTAACTACCTACTTCTTTCCCCCCCCGTTATTTCCTCCCTACCTATTCGTCTTTTCTTTCCCCGATCCCATTCTGTGCTCCCCCTCCCCCCTTCCCTTAGTCCTTATTCCCCCCTGTTCTTCCCCACCCCCTGTCGCTCCTTTTCGCTTTTTCTCTCCCCTCTAAACTCCCTTTTCTGTCCTTCCGCTAACTCTTCCTTTCCTTCAGGCTCCAAGTTTACAGATAGACTGGTCATAATTAGTATAAATGTCATATCTTCTGCAAGCTGATTGAGGCGGTCACCGTCTATTCCTTATTATTTGCGGGTTATTGGGCCCATAGTATGACTCCACTCAACTGTGGATTGTTACACAGTTTTTAACATCCCGCTATTTTTGCTTGCATCAATTGACTCCAACTCCTCATTGATCAATGTACATTTCTCGACATATGTTCATTGGAATCCCCATTTGTATATTGAATATGTCTCTAAATGTATTGGTTTATGTCAGGAACAGGATTGCCTGTACCCCTCATAAATGTATGATGTATGTGACATTAACCACTTGACCTCCAGATGATTTACCCCACTTAATGACCAGGCCTCTTTTTGCCACTCGGCGCTGCACTAATTCAACTGATAATTGCGGGTTCATGCAATGCTGCACCCAAACTAAATTTACGTCCTTTTTTTCACACAAATAGAGCTTTCTTTCAGTGGTATTTGATCACCTGTGCGTTTTTTATTTTTTTCACGCTATAAACAAAAAAAGGCCAAATATTTTGAAGAAAAACAATATTTTTTACTTTCAGCTATAAAAAATATATAGTAAACTCAAAGTTAGTTATAAATTTAGGCCAAAATGTATTCTGCTACATGTTTTTGCTATGGTATAGATACTGCAATTTACGCCATTTTTTTGCTATACAGCGCTGCGCTAGTTTAACGGACAATTGCGCGGTCATGCAATACGGTACATAAATGAAATTTACATCCTTTTTTTCCCACAAATTGAGCTTTCTTTCGGTGGTATTTGATCGCCTTTGCGATTTTTATTTTTTGCGCTATAAAAAAAAAGGCTGACAATTTTGAGGAAAAAAAAAAACAATATTTTGGGCTTTTTGCTATATAAAACATGTCCAGTAAGAAAAAATTTAAAAATCAAATTTAGTCATAAATTTCTGCCAAAATGCATTCTGCGACATGTCTTTGCTAAAAAAAAAAACCAATACGTGTAAATTAATTGGTTTACGTGAAAGTTATAGCGTTTACAAATGACGGGAAAGATACTGGGATTTTTAGGGTTTTTTTATACTAATAATGGCGGCGATCAGCGACTTATGGCGGCGATCAGTGACTTATGGCGGCGATCAGCGACTTATGGCGGGACTGCAGCAGACATTCTGACATTGGGGGGTACTGACTTGGGGTCACTGACATCCTCAGTGACACCAATACAGTGATCAGTGCAACAAAAAAAAACACTGACACTGTACTAATGGCACTGGGGAAGAAGGGGTTAAGTTTATTTTTCAGGGAAAGGGTTAACTGTGTGAGGGGAGTGTTTTACTAGGGGGCGGGGGTGTGTTCTGCAGGGAGCACCGCTGATCGGGAGAGAGAAAACTCTTTTGTCTCGATCAGCGTGTCCTGGAGCTGTCAGGGAACTGACAGAAAGCACAGCTACTGCAGCTGTGCTCTCTGTCAGCGATTGCCGCTGATCGCTGGGACATAGCCGGTAACGACTGGCTGTGACCCGGCGACTGACATCCGCAGCTGTGATCGGTGGCACAGGTAGGGCGACGGCGCGCCTCGCGCGCGCCCCCCTACCTGTTTACAAAACGCACGTTTTAAAACGTGCTTTTGCACAGCCGTGCTGCCCTGCCGCCGTATTTATACAGTGGCTGGGCGGCATGTGGTTAATACCTCTGTATGGTCTCCCCCTGTTGATCTTACACTTTGACCCACTAATATGTAACCTTTTTCGTTGTAATTTTGGCTTGTTGCCTTGCAATAAAATATTTGATCAAGAAAACAGAATGAAAATATGAGGGGGGACATTTAACCACATAAACATCCACTTTTCTCTGAAGCTCTGTCTGTCTGATTACAGTCAATAGAGTTTACAGGGGCTTTTTTTTTTTTTTTTTTTCCAAAAAGAAAGCCTTTATTAATACAAAACATAATGGTACAAAAGACATGTACAGGGTGCCTAAGCGAAACAGCAGGCACAATCTACAGCGACACAGCAGTAACTCAAACAAGAAAATACAGATAATGCAATGATACATAACTCGAGTACAATAAGGATATGCTTGCAGCAAACCGGAGCCAATATAGTATAGTATGGGGTGTAAATGCATCATATAATAATATCCCCTGCACTCGTGCTTCGTCATGTAGGGCTGTAGCGATAGGAAGAGTGGTCATAGCACCTGAACGTAAGATTCGGTCAAAAACTTATGACGATGGGGAGAGTTACAAAACCGGGAAACGTTGCGGTAGGAGCCGTTGATGGAAGTGGGGAGAGTGAAAGAATGGCATGTCTAATGTTCCAGGTAGCGTAGCAAAGCAAAAGGCGAGAAGAAAAGAGAAAGGAGAAAAGAAAGAAAGGGAGGTAGAAAGAAAAAAAATGATGGGAACAGAAAGGGGAGGATGGGGGTGCAAAAAAAAAAAAAAATTTAATAGTGGGGAGGGGGGGGGGGGAACATATGGGGTGAGTAATGATAGCAATATCTGGGGTTAATCATGTATGGGGATAAGAGTTGAGCCAACGCCAGAGTCGCATGGAAAGGGAGACATTATCGAAATGAGTCACAGTGCCTACCACAGAAACTACTGTAAAGAAGTAACATCGGCAGGAAAGCTGGACCAAGTCAGACCTAGTGGTCCATAAGAGACCTGTATGCAGGAGTAGTTGTGAAATAGATCCAGCAGGCCCAGATGTGGGAAAATTTAGTGGGAGTGTCAAGGGCCGACGCAATCAGTTCCTCCATGTCTGCCATTTTACCCACACGGACGAGCCAATCACGAACCGAGGGGGGGCGAGAAGAGCCCCAAAGAACGGGAAGGCAGAGTCTGGCCGCGTTGACCATATGCATGGCCAAAGATCTATGATATTGTCCCCCCGGAAGGGAGGAATGATGGAGGAGAAACTGGGCCGGAGACAGATCCAGAGGCACGGGTCGTCACCGAAACTACAATCCTATGAACCTCTTGCCAGAACGGTTGAATGCTCGGACAGGACCACCAGATGTGTAAAAATGATCCGTCCGCAGCCCCACACCTCCAACAGATATTGGGATAAGAAGGATTAAAATGAGCAATTCGTGAAGGGGTGCGATACCACCTCGATACCAATTTGTAACCGTTTTCCTGCGTTGAGACATTAAGGGAGCATTTATGAGAATATTTGAATACACGTGCCCAGTCGGAATCCGACAAATTTTCATCCAGATCTCTATTCCAGGCCTGACAAGAGGGTAGGGAGTTATAGGCCCTATTCTCAATTAAGAGGGGGTAAATTTCTGAAATCAAATGCTTACGCGGTTCTCCTCTCGAGCAAATATCCTCAAAAGGGGTAAGAGGGCGGGTCCAATCACGGAAAGGTTTATGCGAGAGCAGATAATGCCTTATTTGCAAATAAACCCAGAGAGGAAAATCGCGGGTACCCAAGCTTTCACGCAGTTCGTGGAGTGATTTCATCTGGCCTTCGTGGAGAAAGTGTTTGGCTAAAATTTGATCATGCGGCCAATGTTCAGATAGAAAGTTCTTGTGCATTCCAGGGGGGAAGTCAGGGTTGAGTCGGATGGAAGTGAGACAGTTCGGAGACGCAGAAATAGATGATGATTTGCAGGTATAGCGGAAGGCTTTCAGGGTAGGGCCTATCAAAGGGTGAGTGAGAAGAACCTGAGGCGTATGCTTCAGCGGCAGCCAAGGGATCGAAATCAGGGGTGCGAATGAGAAGGCATGTTCTAGCTGCACCCAATCTTTAGAAGCAGAATGGACGTGCCAGTCCACTACACGGCAGAGCTGACACGCCAAATAGTAACGGTGAAGGTCAGGAAGGCCAATACCACCATCAAGTTTAGGGAGAATCAGTTGGGAATAAGCAATGCGCGGGCGTTTATGGTTCCAAAGGAACAGAGAACAGAGCCTCCTACAGGATGTGAAGAAGGCAAGCGGTATGTGGATGGGCAGAGTTTGAAAGAGGTAGAGAAGGCGAGGAAGGATGTTCATTTTAATTATCGCAGCTCTTCCAAACCACGAAAAGCAAGGACGGTGCCATTTATTCAGATCCCCTTGGAGAGAACGAAGAGTGGGTAAAAAATTCTTAGCGTATAAATCGTCGGGGTTGCGGGTAAGCTTTACACCTAAATAAGAAAGTGAATCCCTTTCCCACTGAAATGGGAAACGAGACTCACAATCAGAAACCACTTCCGAAGGCAAGGTGACGTTGAGAGCGAAAGACTTAGAAAAGTTAATCTTGAAGTTCGACAAATAACGAAAAAATGCAAAATCCTTTAGTAAATTCGGCAGAGTAATATGCGGTTCTGCAAGGAAGAGAAGAATATCGTCCGCGTAGGCCGCAAGCTTATATTCCTTATCCGAGACCCCAATTCCTTTGATGTCGGGGTTAGAGCGCAACTTCCGTAGAAGGGGCTCCAAGGAAAGGACGAACAAGAGTGGAGAGAGGGGGCAACCCTGACGCGTGCCGTTGCCCAAAGAGAAAGAGTTTGACAAATGGCCATTGACCCGGACACGCGCAGTAGGGCCTGAATACAGGGACATTATGAAATTGAGCATCTTCTCACCCAGACCCAATTGCACCAAAGACTCCTTCAGATAGTCCCAGGCGATCCTATCAAAGGCCTTCTCCGCATCCAGGGAAAGGAAGAAACCGGGAAAGGTAGATTTACAGAGCCAATGTTGGAGGTTGAGGGCCTTAATGGTATTATCCCTGGCCTCCCTACCCGGGATAAATCCAACTTGATCCAAATGGATCAAGGAGGGGAGCAGAGGAAGAAGTCGATTGGCAAGGATTTTCGCAAAGAGTTTAATGTCAACATTCAGCAGGGAGATGGGTCTATAATTAGAAACTTGTGTGGCATCCTTGTCACTTTTAGGAATAACTGTGATATGGGCTTCCAGAAGGCGATTTTGAGGTTGGGGGTCTTGCGAGAAAGTGTTGAATGCCGATAGGAAAGGGGTACCCAGGATGTCAAGGAAAGATTTATAATAGGCCGCCGAGAAGCCGTCAGGGGCTTTTTAAATATATTTTAAAGTTGCACTTCTGTTTGTTAAAAAGCAATATTTTTGTTTGTTTATGAAACTTGCTACTTGCCCTCCTGAGGATTTACCCCCCTTCCTGACCAGGCCATTTTTTTCATTATGGCGCTGCATTACTTTAACTGACAATTGCACGGTAATGCAACACTGCAACCAAATTAAATTTACGTCCTTTTTTCCCCACAAATTGAGCTTTCTTTCAGTGGTATATGATATCCTGTGTGTTTTTTATTTTTTGCACTATAAAAAAAAAAAAGACCAACAATTTTGAGAAAAAAACTATATTTTTTACTTTTTGCTATTAAACATGTCCAGTAAAAAAAAAATCAAGTTTCATCATAAATTTAGGCCAAAATGTATTGTGCCACATGTCTTTGCTAAAAAAAATACAAATATGTGTAAGTTAATTGGTTTACGTGAAAGTTATAGCATTTACAAATGGCAATAAATATACTGGAATTTTTAAAACATTTTTTTACTTGTAATGGCAGCAATCAGCGATTTATAACGGGACTGTGGGGCTGCGACGAGCATTCTGACACTGGAGGAACTGACTGACACTGTACTAATGGCACTGGGCGGGTTAATATGAGGGCGATCAAAGGGTTAACTATGTGCTTGGTGTGTTTTTCTATGTTGCCGTGTGTTTGTGCTTCACTGTAAGCACACTGCTTTGTATGGTTGTGCTGTGCACAACAGGGAGGAGAGCTGTTTTGTTTGCAAACAGTTCTCTCCACCTGCGATCCTCAGCAATCACCGGGTGCCAGCGAGTAATCACTGGCTGTGCGCCCCCTACCCAGAAATGCAAAATACGTGATTTTGCACACCCATGCCACCCTGTAGCAGAATTTCTGCTATAGGGTGGGCGGGAAGCAATTACTAAAAATGTTAATTTATACTTGTTTTTATTATTAACAGTGAACTAATAAAGTTTTTATAGTCAGGTAATATGTGCAATGGCATCACAGCCAATAAAGTTTACAGTTTTTTTTTGTTGTTTTTTTTAAAGTTGCACTTCTGTTTGTCAAAAAGTATTATTTTTGTTTGTTTATGAAACTTGGTTTTATTTTTAAAGACATTATGGGGTTTATTTACTAAAGCTGGAGAGTGCAAAATCAGACTCCCTTCTGCATAGAAACCAATCAGCTTCCAGGTTTCATTGCCAAAGCTTCATTGAACAAGCTGAGGTTAGAAGCTGATTGGTTTCTATGCAGAAGGGAGTCTGATTTTGGACTCTCCAGCTTTAGTAAATAAACCCCTATATGTCACAACGGCTAAATCTGTGTCTGTAGTGCATATTCAAACCTAATTATCATAAATAATAACATGTTATTAGATTTTTACTCCAGGAGTATATAATGAGTTTGGAAATTCTAGAGAAATACTTAAAGTGTTACTAAACCCAGGACCCTGCATTCACTATATCTGGTCTCCCACAGTACACACAACATGGAAATGCAATTATTTTAGTAAATATAAACTGCTAAATACCTTTTCTCATCATCAGTTAGAGCAGTCTTGTGACTTCTATCAGTGTCCAGCTCAGCACTGGTTAAAGCTTGTAGGAGGAGTTTTCATTGTGCTCTAGGACATGGATATCAAGCTGGCTACCCTCCAGCTGTTGCTAAACTACAAGTCCCATGAGGCATTGCAAGACTAACAGATACAAGCATAACTCCCAAAGGCAGAGGCATGATGGGTCTTGTAGTTTCACAACAGCTGGAGGGCCACCAGTTTAACACCCTTGTTCTAGCAGGATGCATGCCCCTTGACCTCTGTCTGGACAGTGCTGATTGGCCCTGTGCTGATCACATGCACTCTCCCAAAAAAAAACTCTAGCAATACACACCAAACTGAGCACGCATGTGCAGAGTGTCCCCAGGGCTCTGCTCTATCAGAAGATGGATTGGAGACAGTAGAAGAAGGAAAGGATCAGAGAAGACAAGATCAAACAGCCTTTTTACACAATGTGGAGGATTAAGCCCTTAGGTTCCACAGTGAGTATAACAAGCATGTTTTACTGCAAATACAGACTGAGTTTACTGCTGTGGCATTAGTAACACTTTAACCACTTCTGCACTGCCCTATAGCAGAACTACTGCTACAGGGCAGCACGGATGTGCAAACTCGTGTATATATGTGATTTTGCGCCGCAATTCACAGCCTCAGCTGTCAATCACCGGGTCCCGGCCAGTGATTCCTCGCTGGCACATGGTGATCGCTGAGTATCTCCAATGGGGGAGAGACCTGTGTGTAAACAACACACATCTCTCCCCTGTCAGCTCCTGCACACTGCTTTGTATGGCACTGTATAGCAGAGCCATACAAAGCAGTGTGCTTACAGTGTAAAACATTCACACAGCACACAGCGAAACAGCACATAGCACACAGTTAACCCTTTGATCGCCCCAGATGTTAACCCCCTTCCTGCCCAGTGCCATTAGTACAGTGTCAGTGCTTTTTATTAGCACTGATCACTGTATTGGTGTCACTGGGGATGTCAGTGACACCAAGTCAGTTCCCCCCAGTGTCAGAATGCCTGCCGCAGTCCTGCAGCCCGCTATAAGTTGCTGATCGCCTCCATTACTAGTAAATAAATACATTCCAATATACTGTATATACCACCATTTGTAAATGCTATAACTGTCATGTAAACCAATTAATTTACATGTATTGGGATTCAATTCAGCAAAGACATGTCGCAGAATACATTTTGGCCTACATTTATGATGAAATTTGGACATGTTTAATAGCAAGAAGACAAAAATATAGTTTTTTTCTAAAAAAATTGTTGGTCTTTTTTTTTATTGCGCAAAAAAATTAAAAAAAAACGCACAGGCAATCAAATAACACCAAAAGAAAGCTCTATTTGTCAGAAAAAAAGTGCAGCATTGCATGACTGCGCAATTGTCAGTTAAAGTAACGCAGTGCCGTATTGCAAAAAAATGGCCTGGTCGGGAAGGGGGGTAAATCTTCTGGAGGGCAAGTGGTTAAATAATGCATTACAATCTAACTAAACCCATTAGATTTTAGTTGACTAATATGTACTGGAGATTTTAATCTACTAAACTACGACCAAAATTAAATCATTCTGATGACTAAAATACAACTAAAACAAAAATGGCATTTTGGTCAAAAGCCTATGACTAAAACTAAATCAAAATGTGATGTCAAAATTAACACTGTTCTAAAAGAGACACTTGTTTCAGGGACAAATGTCTAAGAGAGAATTCCTGCCACTTTGGGCGATTTCTTCTCATTTCCTGTTATGTGTCTCCACCCCCTTTTTATGAACAATCAGACAAGCTTTATAAATTCAGTACTTTCAATGGATGTAGAGAAGAAAGGGTTGCAGATAAACAGGTACAATTTATTTGTTTCATCGCTGTATATCACCTCAGGCCAGTCACTTCACTGGGTATATGTAAGTTTTTACAACCACTTTAACTCTTTTTTTTTACTACTTTACAACTAATTTATTTTGTTTTATAGCATTACAAAAGTACACATGGGAACATTCATGAAAAAAAAAAAACAAAATCTCCAATGTGTTATTCATTTTTAGCTGTTAGCACAACCCGCATTAAGTTTATTTGATAAAAAAATAGAAATAGTATCTGTTCTATTTTGGGTTTATTTTCAAAAGTCACAAGTCAAAGGACAAGGCTATTTCTTAGTAAATGTTTATTAAATTTGCACTAAATGGGGATTTATGGCATTAAAATATGGATTAATCCAAATCCGAGTTGGTAAACACTGTAGGCACTATGAAAGCTAGCTATTTATATAACAGGCACATTTATCTTTTGAAAAATAGTTCAACTGCCACAGCAAAGTTAAACACTGACAGTAAACACTGACTCCATATCCAGAAAATTCACTACAGCACACAATAGCCATGGCTCCCAGCATAGTGAAAACCTGGAGCACCTGAAATGTTTTTGCAGGCTCTAATGAGTTCTCTACAAGTGAAAAACAGGAGTTGGAGCCATCTTTTACCTATTTTATTCACACTCATGCAACAGGGAGTTGGTGTCCATGTGCAGAAGGCTGCCATTTTATTGAAGCCTACTAGAGCCTGACAAGCTGATCCCCTCTGTCGTGCACCAGTCTATCCACATGCTGATCCAACTGGTTTTGGGGCATTTGAGTGGTACTATTTTTATTGTTTTGGGTTACATATGTTATTACTGTTTTGTTTTAAGGCATAAATATGCATGCTTGCTATACACTGGTCATCTGATGTCAACTTTTTTCTAATTCTAAAAGATAAACCTTTCTGAAAAGAAACATGGGACTATCATTGCTAACCAAGTTCTGAAAATGTTAGTCTGCTATGTTGATCCTCTGGTTTCAGTACAGTTATTAATCTGGAAAAGTATGCTAATCATGAAAGTCAGATAAAGGTCTTTATCGGCATACTTTGCTAGAGACAGCCTCGCATACACTGTATGTCTAATACAGTGCTTTCATAGTGACTTTGCTGATAAAAATGTATATAGTTTTCTTTGTAAAAAGGATTTATATTTTCTTAAAGCCCAGCTCTGGGCTCAGCACTACCCCTCTTCCCTCCAGTGTTTTCCTTTTCCTCTGCTAAAGCTCCCCCAAGCTGTATGTTAGGCTATGGGTGTTGATTTGCTAAAACCGGAGAGTGCAAAATCTGGAACGGCTGTTCATGGTAGCCAATCAGCTTCTAACTTTAGCTTGTTCAATTAAGCTTTGACAAAAAAAAAAAACCCTTGAAGCTGGTTGGGTTCTCTGCAGAGCTGAAAAACAACTATAAAAATCTTGAAATAAAAAAGTGTGGGAAAGTGTTCAAAACTCCAATGTGCGGAAAACTAATCAAAAACATGACATATTGATATTCAATATATCCTAAAGTGCTTAACATCAACAAAAATCAAAAAAGTATTTAAAATTATTGATTACAAAAGTGTGGGAAAGTGTTCAAAAGAAAAAGGTAAAAAATCAAAACATTTGTGAAACAATTCGTGAAGCAATCGGTAAACCGTTGGAAAGAAATGTATTATACCCAACCAGGGCAAACAACCAAGGAAATTTATAGCACTCTACCCAAAAAATATCTCTAATAACACTGTTAGCATTATTCTTGGTTTACCACTTGGCTTGGTATCAAGAAGTCCCTGAATTTTCTACTTCTTAGTGGAAGTGATGACTGGCATATTCAAGGCTTTGGACATCTTTTTATGCCCTTTTCCATCTTTATAAAGTTCCATTACCTTGTTACGCAGGACTTTTGACAGTTCTTGTCTGATCCCCATGGCTCAGTATCTAGCCTAGTCAGTGCTTCCATGTAAGAGCTAACAAACTCATTGACAATCTATACACTGACACTAATTGCAATTTAAAAAGCTACAAATTAACCATTACATTAACCTCTAGTATACACCCTTATATGCTATTCTAAATCCCCCCTGTTGCTCCAAGCATAAGGCTGTCTATTAATATACTGCTTCTTTTTTTAATCATCAATTTTTAATGCACCTTAAAGTGATTGTAAACCCTTATACTCACTAAAATAACTACTCTCAGGAGTTACACAGAAATGAAACAAACCCTCCTACATAAGTTGTACCTCTTTAATTGCAGCCATTTCTTCTACAGATCATTTTAAAAACACACCAATCAAAGGATTTTGCATAGCTATATCAGCAGGGGCTGGGGATCTGATGTCACACACACACTGCAGAGCTAGAGCACAGTTTCCTAATATATGCTAGCTGATTGGAGGACAGGGACCGACCCCCACATACAGGCTTACAAGCTCATATAAAAATACACAGAGCTAAGGCTATGAGTCACCTGCAGTGTGCTGGAGGGGGGCAGGCAGTCTTCATCTAGGCTGTTGTGTGGGAAAACTTTCTGAAGTAACTCATACAGATAGCAGAGAGAGGAGTGATCATAAAGGAGCCACACTTAGTTCTTTGGATTCAGGCTAGTATACAATAGAGAGTTATGTGTTTTGTTAATTTTTATGTTTGAAGTTTACAATATCTTTGTCATTGTTACATTAGGGGTTTTTTTGCAGCTACTGACATAGTTATTTCCTATATTTCATTAATAACAATGAACCTTAGTTGCAAATTCATGCTACTTGCCCTATAGGTGATACTGTATGTGATTCAGGTAGCCCCATAGCAAACTGTGCACAGAATTGATAAAATGACTGGTTTGTTAACTGAAGTTGTTCAAATGTAACATTCGTGACAACTAATAAACAAGATTTGAGTAACAAGATGTAGCAGTCAATACAACAGAATAAAAAACAGTAGTGTACTATGAAAGAAATAGCTGTACTACAATGCACATGGCATGAAAACAGTATAGACCACTAAAACTAAAGCTGCCAGTATGTGCTTATTTTTTTTCAGAAGTAAACTAAAAAAAACACATAAAAAAGGTAACAAGGTGGATCAAGGAATCCCCCTGCAGGAACGTTGTATTCTGACAGTGACACCCACTGGTTGGCTCTTTAGAAGAGTGGGGGAAATCACACACTGACTGAAACTCAGCTGGTCCCTGCTAAATTGGCCAAATTTGGATCTATGTATGAAATGCCTAAAGTGCTATCACACCGAAAAGCATAAATGTATTATATTTCAGCTTACCAATCCTAGATGTAATGGCTGAATTACCTTCTTTTTTTAGGCTTGCTTCCTTCATTTTCACTCGGTGATCTGGCAAGTAAGTCTGGTATTTTTCAACTCCTTTAACTAACCAGATGACAGATTTACATAGTTAGTATGGCTGAAAAAAGACAAAAGTCTATCCAGTTCAACCAAAAAAAAAGGTTATAAACCTTTACCCACCATTGATCCAGAGGAAGGCAATAAAACCACAAAACATGATCCAATTTGCTCCTGCAGGGGAAAAAATTCCTTCCTGATCCCCCAAGAGGCAATTGGATATTTCTTGGATCATCTTTACCTATAAAATGTTTGTATCCAGTTTTGTTGTTTGTATCTAGGAAAGAATCCAGGCCTTTTTTAAAGCAATCCACTGAGCTGGCCAGAAACAACTCTTGAGGGAGTCTATTCCACGTTTTCACAGCTCTTACTATGAAGAAACCTTTCCATGTTTCGAGATTACATTTCTTTTCCTCCAGACGTAAAGAGTGCCCCCTTGTCCTCTGTGATGACCTCAGGGTGAATAACTCTACACTAAGTTCACTATATGAACCACTGATGTATTTATACATGTTGATAATATCCCCCCTTAATCTCCTCTTCTCAAAAGAGTATAAATTTAGTTCCTCTAATCTTTCCTCATAGCTGATCTCCTCCATGCCTCTTATCAGTTTGGTCGCCCTTCTCTGTATTTTCTCCAGTTCCCCAATATTCTTTTTGTGAATTGGTGCCCAAAACTGAACTACATATTCCAGATGAGGTCTTACTAATGATGTGTACAGGGGTAATATGATATCTATACCTCTTTTAATACAAGAGAGGATTTTGCTCGCTTTAGAAACCGCAGCTTGGCATTGCATGCCATTATTAAGCTTGTGATCTACCAGAACTCCCAGATGCTTCTCCACCATTGATTCCCCCAGTTGT